GCAGTACAGGTATGGCAAAGCTCGCGAGATAACTTTCGTCATATACACGGTAGGGCTTCGCATGCACTACCTCGATATGTGTCAGGTTGAACGAGCTCATATTAGTTCCCTCATAGAGCTTACTCAACGTGCACGGGCTTGCTCGTGTCGAGCTCGTTGAACTGGTAGATCTCCAGCGGCTGATCAAGGAGTGGTCCCATGTAGGCCCCGAACTCGGCGTAATACGGGTTCGCCTGGTGGATCTTCAGGCTCTGCTCAAACAACATTCAAAGACATTAGAATCAGACTGGAATGAGCATAAGCACTGACAAGTTTTGAACGTACGCTCTCGCGCTCGTAACGCTCCACGATGGTCCACTTGCGAGTATCAACGTGGTCCTGCATGACATGCCATCCGATGACCTCGGCGTCCTTCATGTAAGTCTGCGAAGCCTCCACGAGCTTGTTGTGAATCTTCTCCTCGATATCCTTTCCCTCCTTGGAGTGCAGGTGAACAACAAGCGTGTAGACCATCTTGCTTGAGTTTGGAGACGATGTTCTTGGCAAGCTTGGAAGCAAATAGATGAATGACGTACGTGGCATCGTGGTTGAACTCAGCCCAGATGGCGCATACAACTTTGTTTACGAGTGAGACACTTAATGTGTCACACATCAGAACGTGGTTGATTCATAAACCTAACGGGTTGCCTTGGCTACACCACTCTTTTACATGCAATACCACCTATCTTTTAGCGTACCCCTACCTTATAAAATGCTGTCAGAAATACATAAATTACAAATATAGCCACTAACGGTCACACTTTTCTGCGACAATACTATTGGTCAATATTGGGCAATTTAGGACCAACCAAGCCTACCCGCCCGCAAAGCGGGCGGCACTCGGCTAGTAAACAGCAGTAAAAAAAACACACGCATACAATAAAGTTTTTTATATATGGAGTTGTAAACTTAGAAGCACGCGATGACTTCACTACAAATGCCTTCACCAAATCCCCTCAGACTCTAGCGACGGGAACCTCAACACATCGGCTGATCAGAAGCGCTCCTCATATCGCAAGTGTTTTAAGAGAGTTCCACTACGCAATGACGGCACCACAGCTCCATCTACCCTCACATGGAACGCCTTGAAAAGACCAACTTGTACTCAGACAGTCACTCGCTCACTCGTTCGCTCGCGCGCTTACTCGACGTGCACGGGCTTGCTCGTGTCCAGCTCGTTGAAGCGGCGCAGATCCATCGGCTTGTCCAGCAGGGGGATGACGTACGGGTCGAACGTCTTCCAGTACGGGTTTTCCAGGTGGTACTTCTGACTGCTCTCGTGCTCGTAGCGCTCGACGATGCACCACTTGCGCGGGTCTTGGTGGTCCTGCATCACGTGCCAGCCGATGGTCTCGATGTCCTTGGAGTACACCTGCGAGGCTTCGATCAGCTTGTTGCGTAGCTTCTCCTCGACCTCCTTGCCTTCCTTGGCGTATAGGTGGACGACGATCGTGTAGACCATTGTGGCAGTGGTGTGTGCGTGAGTGGTGGCTGGTGAACTTGACAGGAAAATGAAAAGTGAGCTTACGACGTCGGGTGGAAGGGCTGGCTTGCTCTTCTCGTGCGGGATGTGCGTGGCTACTTGTCGCTCCGCCTGGTATTATTAGCCTCTTGGCCA